AATTAGATCACAGTGCTGCATTATGTGCATAACAGTGTTTGATATATTACTGGAGGGCTGTGAAGAACACTACTAAAACTTAACTGGTCAGACGGTCAACACTGATACTCTGTTACAATCAGGAGGATGTATGGTTCAAATGCTCTTTTGGTGGCAAAGTTAAGAAAATGTTTCAAAGTATTTCCTATAAAATATGCCAATGAGCTGTTCAGGCAGTAGTGATGTGCCTGAAGGAGCTGGGTTTGCATTCTCCAGGAAGTGAAGTAAATTGCATTGGAAATGCATTTTCTCAGTAGTTTTATTCTGATCCTGGAGCACAGGAGAGTAATGTTTCAAAAAATGCCTAGGGCCAGATTAAAGCAAAAATTGTAGTAACAATAATAGTGAAATGGTAAAGGCTTCCAGGAGCACTTGGGTGTCTATAGCTTCACTAACTGCAAAGGAGACCAGACACCTTCAAGTTCTAGAAGACCTCAGATTGTGCACTCTCAGACCCACAGTGTGATTCTTAGTGTGTCCTGTGCAGGGCCAAGAGTCAGATGGGTCCCTTCCAACTCAACATATTTTATGATTCTATGATCTACATCTTTAGATGGATTGGGATGGGAGCCAAAATCTCAGTGAAAATACATTACCACTACTAAGAAACCAGGACAAAGTGTTGTTTTGGTAATTTTATCCGTGGTGCCATTTGGTGTACAATTTAGGATTTCATTGTCTGGTAAAGTATGTCGATGTATCTCTACCTCACTCCAGTGAAGAATGCAGCCTCCAGCTTTTTTCTGTATCTTTTCCACAAGTAGACAGTAATTCAGCTCTACACTGGGAGCCAATGCATCTCCTTTGGGATTCCCTTCTCCCATTAAGGTAGGAGAGGAACCAGAAGATGAACCTCAATTGCTGGAGAGAAGAGTCTCAGGACAGTTCTCCAGTCCTACAGGGCTCACCTCACTCCCACATTTGGCTTTTCAGCTGTAAAGCCCTGTGATCTCTGTAGAACTACTGCCAATTTTGTCAGGAGAAGATCAGAAGCAGACTGCTTTCAGAAACAGCTATGGGGTGATACATTTAAGCTGTTCAAGACCTGTGCTTGCATTTTTAAATGCAAGCAGAATCTGCACCAAAATGCAGTAGGACATCCAACTGCTTGCAGAATGCAAGCACGATCAGCAGATTTCACCTCCCTGGAGATGCTGGTGAAATCTGCTTATGGCATTAGCTCTGGCCTGCAAGAGCTTCTTGCTGCAGAAGGCATATTCCAAAGGAACTCGCCATGAAGTCCAGCAACCCTTACAATTCATGCCCATGTGAAACTCACCACTGAACACCTGCTGACCTCGCCCCCACCTGTCTTGGAGAAACGCTTATTTGGCAATACTTAGAGTGAGAAGAAGGGGAAGTTCGAGATTTGACAACTTCTCACCCCAAAATGGCTTAGAAGGAAAGCAAACAAGCAAAACCACACCACCTCCTATCTGGCAAGTGAGAGAGTTTGTAATACAGTGCAATTACCAGTCCGTTTTGACATCATTCAGTTGAAGTAAAGACAATTCGATTAAAAGCTGACATCGTATTTCTTGGAAAACATATCAATTTCAGTTCTTACACAAAAAAAGAGAACTTCTCTGATGGAGTAGAACCAGTTCTGACAAAGTTGCCATTGTCAGCCAGGCACAAATATGGTTTAAAAGGTGACTCCTAAATACTTTATACAATCCAAATTATGTACTTCTCATCAACAGTCAGAGTAAGCATCAATAAGGACAAGTTGTTTTTAAACACCAGAAATAATCCATTGATGGCAGCCCAAACATAACTTTGTAAAATCCTACCAAAGAATACCTTCCAGGCAGATCAGACTAGGAGAAACAAATTTTATATGAAAATAGATGCTTGCCAACATTTTAGGTTTATCAGGAAGTATATAGAGAACTTGTTGAAGTCTTAGATAGGTGTTGTACATATATATCTATATATATATCTGTATAAAGTTAACCTGCCTAATTAGATATTTATGCAAAATGACTGTTTTCTAAGATGAGTAATACTAGTGGTAATTATATATTTAGCCACCAAGAGTCCACATTAATGAATGGCACTTGTTTTTCAGCAGATACTGATCTCATTTGCACTGACACACTGCAATCAGAGAAGTTGCTCTGGAATTAGTGTTGTGGACAGAATCTGGCCACTGGCACACAAACACGTAGCTTTCCCTGGAGGACAGAGATGGCTGAGCCATGGTTTGTATTTTCTGCCACTAGATTTTTCAGTGCTGTTTTTGGTAAATATTAAGCCACTCCCGAGCTGATACAACAATGCATCAATGAGCAAAGGTGGTAGCAAAGTGATACTGTAGTATCTTCTATTTCAAATGACTCTCCCAAAAGTCTGTAAAAGATGAAGACCAAGTTCTCCTGTACAGGGTTGTGTGCTACACCACCTGCAGACTTTGGCTGTAGAGAGCATGGCCCTGGGAAGAAGCAGATTATCCCAGTCTGATCAGACAAGGGAAATGTTATGGCTCATTCATCTCTGTGCTACCTGGCCAAGGGACTGGTCCTTCCTGTTTTCCCCAACGTTATCTATGTTGCAGGCAGCCAACAGAAGTTAGTCTCTATGTACTCCTGACTTAACTAATGCTGGGAATCAACGCTGCACGCATTGGCCCCTGCAAACTGAGAGGAACAAGGCTGTTTCTGGCACTATCCATGGCTCTCTCCTTCCTTATCTCCTAAGCTGGCAGTTGTGCTGAGCTCTGGCAGCTATCAAGCTGCTCCTGGATCCCAGGACATGCTGGCTGAGATGGGAGGAGAGGCACACTTTTGCTGTGCTGCCCTGTTCTTTACAAAATGCTTGTGGGGTACAGAACCAGGTCCAGACCAGCCTGTCCTTCAGTCCTTCCACCTCCTAACTGAGCACACACCACAGGCATCTCCAAATACAACTTTTAGCTCACTGCACTGAATAGGAAGTCAAACCCTTCTCTAACTCACTCTTCATAAACTAGATCCATCTTGGTGAAACTGCTGCCTGAAACAGCTGTTAGTGACAAATCTAAACCTATACTCTTTAAGAAACCAACCATTTTGTTCTCTTAAGTGGTTGGTTTCTGGGATTTTCTTTTTGCCTCTAGGATATTCTAAGTGTAGAATTTTTCATGCCAAATGCAAGAATCCAAGTGAGAGAGACTGTTTAGTTTATTTCACAGCTTCTTTGTGCTGTAGTGATTTTCAGTCTCATAGCCATCCTTACCAGAGTAGCACTGTACCTGAATCACACTCTCTGTAACACTGGTTTTTATTCGGACACCTCCATAAGGCTCTTAACTAACTTCAATTTTTCATGGCAAATTAGCAAAGCTATTTTCTTGTCTACTTATTCCTGAATCAAATCAGAGAGTTTTCCTCAATTAACCTCCCATTATTTCTTGATTCTGTCATACACACTCACTACTAAATTTGCCCTCAGATTATTGCGTCATGTTACACATGTACAGACGAAGAAAAGACACACTTTTACTTTTTTCTTTTTTTTTTTCTTTTTTTTAACAGAAGTAGGGAGAGGGGGCTGAATGTGCAGACAAGGCAGTATAATTCAACCATCCAAGCCCTACCAGAGCATGAAGATTTTATTTTTTAATATTGCAGAGTAAGTTCCCCAACAGTCAGTGTTTGTCCCTGAAGAAGGTTAAACCTTAAACACCTGCTTCAAAAAAACCCCAACGACAACAAAAAAGAACCAAAACAAAAAACAAAACAAAACAAAAAAAATAAAACCCCCAAAAAACAAACTCTAAGCCTAAGGGCTTAAAAATTAGAGGCATAGCCTTTTTCTCTATTTTCTATATTTATATGAAAATAATTCATGCTTCATGCTAAATACATTATTTACCTTACAAGAACTTTGTCATCTTTGAATAAAAAAAATTGTTTGCTTTTTGTTTTCCCCCTTTCCCTAAAGAATCCATGCAATGTGGATCAAATTTCTTCTGCTGGCTATGCTGGTTGAATCTGGAAATTTGTTGTCATTTTTGCACAGATGAATCCTGACTGATGGTCACTGCACACTCACTTCTGAGGGCAGTGTAGGAGCTCTTTTGTTGAATTTCTGAATTTTACTGTTCACCAATATGCTTTCCTTCTATTTTTAAATACAGAATACCACTAATGGCAGGTTTTGTAGCTTTGTTTCCCCTGTTAGATCAAGGATGTGATCCACAGAAAAAGATTCTGATGTACATTGTATCTACTGTAATTTCTTAGACTTGATTACTTTTCACTCAGGCAGTTTAGAAGACATAGATTGTTTTCCCCTATTACTATTATTTTTTTGCACGCAGTGCCAATCTTCAGGCTTATGGCTTTTTTGAACATTCTTTCAATTTAATATAGAAGATAGAATTCAATGGTTAACGATGCTACTAACAGTCACACCCCTCCCATTTCATTATTTCACTGAAACCCATTGCATACATAATTTAAATTTCCTCTAACTTAGAGTTATCAGTCTTCACATTATGAGCCACATAGGATACGTGACACACTAGAAGTGCATTGCTGCTTGCACAGTTGCCACCAGTGGCCGTCCGAAGACTTGTGTGGCACATCTCCAAGTGCCACTAAACAGTTCTTGGTTGAGAAGTATGTGCCTCCTCTTTCCCACAAATCTCTTTATTCACATTCGCTTCTAACCCAATTGTAAGGCCATTAAAAAAATTCTTAAGGGCCAGGCCTGAATGAATACTAAATTATGCACAGCTCTTCTACTCTAAGAGGGATTTCCAAGTGCCCAATTTTACTCCCATCACATTAATGTTGATATCACTGCGTATTCAACCATGCATTTTTGACAAGCTGGAGAAAGCAATGGCGATTTTGGCTTTCTTTTTTTTGTTAACTTTTTGTCTTCAGGTAATGAAAAGCTTTTGTAAATTAGCTGAGTGTCAGTATGAGTTCTATGGCTTCAATCTCCTTTAAAAATAAAAATCTTAAGGGTCAAAAAAAAAAAACCAAACAAAAAACCCAAATAAACAAAACAAAAAGAAATTGAAGAAAAACAAAAAAGGAAAAAATTGCTGATATTGCCACAAATCATTAGAATTCACCTGACGTGCTGAAACAAAACTTTGTAAGTTCAAACAAATCATTGATTTGTTCTAATTTTTTGTGGTTTCCTTTTGCTCTTTCTGCCCCTTTGCCGTCCGATTGGTGATGTTGTTCAAACAGGATCGAATTCCTGCTAAATGCAGGAGTGATCCTGCTGCTTCTTTCATCTCCTCATCGTCACTCTCAGGGGGCTTTTCTGTACGTCTCTTTTTAAGAGGCAGTGTGTCACTTGGTACTTTTTTCGCCTTCATTAAATGTTGCCTTTTCTTGTGCTGGGATGCATATCCACTGTCAGCTAAAGAATCCTTGGTCTCCTTCCGACTTTGCTTTTTGTCCTCCTCTTCTGTTTCGCTATGGCTCTCGTGGCTCTGGAAGCTCACCTCACTTCCTTCACTGCTGTCTTGGCTACCTTTAGTTGCAAATTCATACTGGTCGTCAGCAGAGGAAGAGGAAACGGAGTCACTGGCAGGTGATGTGCTCCTGTGGTTGGAAGATTTGGCACTGCTGTAGTTGTGATCCTCCTTTGGGTCACCGCTAACAACTGGAGAGCCGCAGGACTGTTCGCTTTCCGTCCGCATCCGGCAGTTTGTTATTCCGTTCCTGCAAAAACAAATCCAAGCACTCTTAGAAGCCACAGAGATGTGATCCAGCTTCGAAGCAGAAGATGATAAATCCAACTGACAGATAAATTGAAATTACAATCTGAAATTATGACTATCAAAGTAATGTCCATGCAAGCTGGTTTCAAAGCCTAATTGCTCCTGGATTGGATGGACTTAACATACAAAATAAGCCAAAAGATGCAAAATAGCACAAGAAGCAGGAACAAGAAGGGGATGGTTACAAATAAATGATGTGTAAACAGTATTGATTTAAATTTCAATTAATAGTTTACACTTTCAAAAATTAAGAAGCAAACTCCCCAATATTATTTTAACTACTGGGTAAATAAATTGCATAAATTAGCCCCTCATCTTTTGCATATAAAGTGGTACTACCAAAAACGTGGGGAAGAGACACTAGATTTCTGGGGCAATTCCTTGCCTGCTCTGAAAGACACTTTCCAGTTCTAATTCCAACTTGTATTTCATGGTTCACCTGGGAAGTAGCACAACTTCTATTTAGGACTCTTGGCAAGAGAATGAACAACTATGTCCAGTCACAGTTCTGATTCTGATCAGTTAATAAATAACCTTAAAAGCAATACAATCTTAAGCCACTAGCTGCCAAGGAAATATTAGAACGTGTTCAAAAACAAGCAGTAGAAAAAATAAATCTGGATTTGCTCTAGAAGCTGTCATTTTCTCCTTTGGTTTTATGGCACCCTGTGCAGTGGGAACTACTGCAGCATGATATGTTTAAAAATGAACTGGTTTTTTTTCTGTAGTGAAAAGTATTAGATCATTGCCACTGACTTTAAAAAACAGAATACAATACTTAAAATACTATTAAAGAAGGCACTGATTCTGTGCAATGCTTAACTCCTACTGAAAAGGAGAGCAGGATGCTCCTCATTGAGTAAAGCCATCATCACTGCCACCTGCCAGTTTACCAGCCTTGAACCTCTCTGACAGTTAAAAAAAATCCAACAAATAAGCAAGGCTGTTTAAACCCTCACATGATAAACTGATTTAAACTTGCCATCTTTGTGTTACCATTGGATGCTTTTGCACACTTGGGGCAGTGTTGGATTAAAGCCCCTTTCTCAAATGCACACACTGACATAGATGTTTTCTTAAGAGGAATGGCACAGTGGCAAGTCCAGAGTATTACTGCTCTTCCACTTTTAAAAATGGGAAAGTACTTTAGGTTTCAGGCCATGGACCTCATGTATGGTTTCCTTACACAAGAAACAGCAGAGTATTACCCATTTCTGAAAGGTAAGGTTGAAAGGTGGGTAAAAGAAGAGTGGTATGTAATTCCACAGTTCCTATTCATCTAAATGCCCTTGTCTGCAAGAGCTCACTGAGATAAGAAAGCCCCTTGCATTTATGAACCAGTGACAGGACAATGCTAGGAGGCAGCAAATTCATCAGTCATTCCAAATGTTATTTACAGTGCTTTCAAAGAAATGTATAGAATAGAAGGTACACTTATTAGCAAAGAAAGCCTCTTGCCAACCTCTTTTGCTCAGCAAAATTACTTTTGCCTAGCTTTCTGAGTAGATGTATGATCCATAAATTCCATATAGAACCCAGAAGGAATACACAAAGCTCCTTCAATTATTAATAACTAAGTGCAATGTCATTCATGATTGTGCAGCAAGCCAGCTGCATTTACTCTGTGATGGCTTGCAACTGCAGGGGTTGTCATTAGAGGATGCCAAATGCTTAGAATAAGAAATCATCCATACTAAGCTAGTTATAAGGTGAATTTATAACCAACTCCTTAAGATCAGCCGTTACAAGGAAGTATGTGATGCATTTTAAGTGACAGATTCTTCATTTTTAGGGTAAATTTACATTTAAAGATGTTAAAAATTATCATAAATTAGCATAAAATTAAACTTACTTGATTTTACAAGGCAGCTAAAAGTCAGAGCAATATGGCTTACTAAAAATCACACACTACTAATTTTCCATTAAAAAATAACAACCAATTCTTGCTCCAAGGAAACAAATACAGGACAGAATAGGTGGGAACTCAAATGAAATTCCTACTGACTGCAAGTGAACAAGGCTTCTAATGGATGTGATTTAAACCAAGAGACCCATTTTTATGCTATTTAGATCTACTCCTGTGAGTTTGTACCAAGAGCCTGTCAATAAAAGGAAAGCCACAGCTCCATCGAGCAGCACAGCAACCACGTGCCAAAGAGACATCTCTGATTTACCCTGCTCTGGAGTCTCTAGTGTTGCCTTTTATGTAAAGGGGCTATAATTTGGATTCAAAAGCTATGCCCATGGGACTTACTCCAAATCCCAATTCCTCCAAATCAGTATAAAAACTGATGAAATGCCCAGGGAGTACAGAGGGATGTCCCAGGGGAGGGGGTACTGTGTTGTTGGCATCCCACAGGGAGTACAAGCAGAGATGCTGGTAAAGAAAAATACAAGTTTACAAAGAGGTGCAAAAAAAGAATTGCTTAAAAAAAAAAAAGGGGAGAAAAGAAAATACCAATACACTTCAGAAGAAAGTGGAACTGGTCAGGAAATGGACAGCATTTGCATCTCAGAAAAATCTTTGGGTTTCACTTACATTTTGAAAGATTTCCAACCAGTTCTGCTTGAGGAAATACAAAAGGAAGAGAAAGCAGGTCAAGGAGAGAATTAGCAAAGGATATTTGCAGAAAAGTAAAAAGTTATACAGGAAGAGTGCTTTAGGATATTCACAACATCAAAAGTCACGTACCCTGAAAGTAAATCTGATCTGTATCTTAATATGCAATAGCTCAAACATTAGATAAATTACTTATAACTGATATTAGTAGATTAGTAAGAGCTGAACGAACTAATATCTAAACAATTAATATTCCACACATGCTTCTGAGACATTCTCAAGCTCTACACTGCTCTTAGACAATCATATATTCACTATGAAATGAATTTGTGATTTATGTAGTTCAATCTAGACTGTCAGTGGACAGAACTCCCTAGGGTTTCAGGACACAGATTTTGGCTAGCTCCATCTATTTTTGCTCACAGTTCTGGTTGTAACTCTCACTTTGTTTCCCCCTTTTTTGTTCAGAACTTCATTTCAAAATTTCCAGAAACTGACGTATTTTCATGTTTTAAAGTAGTGGCTTGCCCTTTCAGGAAAGTTGCTGGGACAGTCTCCAGAGCCTTTCATCCTACTCACATGGACTATCTTATTTGCTTGAGGGATCTCAGCCTAAAGCAATGTGCACAGATTCTTTTCAGAATATTTCCATTAGTTTGTAGCACAATGACACAATCCTCAAGCAGTGCAAATGTAAGTTTGGACTTCTGAAAGTCTGACTTCATTCCCATTGTTAATGGATATGAATTCTACTACCAATGTCACCAGAAGCCAGACAGGACTCATGGCAGCTGGGTCTCAAGTTAGAGGAAATAATGTCCTTTGCACAGTGGTAGTGACTCTGCCTTTCAGAGAGGTCTTCCTCAGGAGGAGACAAAAGTGAGTCTGTCATTTTACCAAGTACAGGCATATCTTCCTTAAATTTCTCTGCTAGCTTGAAAGAGAGATAGGTAATCACATTCTGTTTGCAAAATGGCAAAGGTTTTGCTGAAAAAAAACTTACTGCATTTCACACTTGAGACAGGTATATTCCTTTGATGAACAAAGAAAACCTATGTGGAGTTTAAATATCACCTTAATCTACCTCTGATCCTTCTGGATGACAGATACTGTGTACCCATAGATGACAGTTTTTGGATGTAACTGGAAGCACACAGTTAGAAGACACAATGAAAACAGTAAAGGTAAGCTGGGTTTGTAGATTTTGACACATTCCCAGTTCGCAAAAAAAAAAAAAGAAAAAGAAAAATCACTTTTTTTATTTCAAAGGGAAATTCAGAACAGTCAGAACTTTTGGCTACAGCTGGTTGAACTGCTTCTTAAAACCATTACAAACCAGCAGACAGAAGGATGAGCAAGTGTATGAAAAGTAAGTGGTGCTCACTTGCTCTACAATGAGATTTTGTCAGGGGTTACTGAGTTAAAAGTCAACAGTGAGCAGCTCACAATAGTGACAGAAGCTCTTACAAAGGGCTCACAATAGTGACAGAAGCTCTTACAAAGGTACTTCAGAGAAAAATTGTATGCAAAGGACCACAGTAAATACACTTCATGAACTGCCAGCAGTATCAGCAGATCTGAAATTAAACCAAATGGAGCCCTGTGCATTTTGCAAAGAAAAAATAATCAAGTCAGTCAGCATTGCTGTCCTTTAGTTACTAAAGGATTCCTTTGGCTCCCAAGGATAACTCATCCTGCCTGTTACAGGTGGGCAGGGGAATGCAGTGCATCTGGGATGATCTGGGCTTTGTTAAGCTGATCACACCAGTGGGTAAGCACTACGAAGATACAATTAAGAATTTATGAAAGTAAACACCTACCAATTCCTTTATCTAAGCAAAAATAGTAATTCACAGATAATGTAAGTGAATTATAATAATTCTGTTTATGCTTTGGCATCTACTCTGCACATGCAAAGTTTGTTTTATTTAATCACTGCTTGAATGGCTGCTTCAAGGGAGGAAAACAGAAGCAAAAATAAAGACAGCATGAGAAATAAAGTGACAATAATAAAAGCTATGTCCAAGGAATAATCTAGTAATTGCCCTATAATTTTGAAGTGCAAATAATCCTAAATAACCATTTTCCATCTTCAGATAAGGTTAAGCACAAAACTCATTCTTGTCATGCCCCAGTGATCAGGAGCTGCATAAGGAACTGTGGCATTAATAGCAGAAGAACAGGCATTTTAAAATCTACTCATGATGAAGTAGGTAAGGTTGCCAAAATGCAACGCTAGCAAACCTTACCTACTTTTTGTTGTCTTTCTGCTTGGTTTGGTTTTTTGTTATTGTTTTGTTGTTTTCTTTAAATTCCTCAAAATCAAAGAAGAGCTGTAGCTCTGCCTGTACAGGTGCACTTGTTTTCCCTATGAATATGAA